TCACCAACAATGTGATGGGAGTTTCACTGCTTCAGGGAGTCTGAGCACTTGGCTTGCATATTTGACAACTTTATTCTGTGCTGTTAAGAGTCCTCCTTCCCCCCAAATCACACCATGAACCCAAATCCCATAATCATATTTGGTGTCTGTCCAGATAGTGATGATTTTTCCTTTGGGCAGCTCCAACGCTCGGGTTAGAGCCATCAGCTCTGCCTTTTGAGCTGAAGTTCCTGCAGGTGAAGGATTTGACTCAGTTTCCTCAGAGACACAGTGGTCACTGTCACAAGTTTCCGTGTCCCTCGTTTCACAAAGCTGCTGCAGTCACTGAACCAGTTGTCAGCTCTGCCTTTTGAGGTGAAGTTCCTGCAGGTGAAGGATTTGACTCAGTTTCCTTAGACACAGTGGTCACAGCACACCCAGCTCTCTGTGTCCCTTTTTTCACAAAGCTGCTGCAGTCACTGAACCATTGTCAACTCTGCCTTTTGAGCTGAATTTCCTGCAGGTGAAGGATTTGACTCAGTTTCCTCAGACACAGTGGTCACTGTCACAAGTTTCTGTGTCCCTCGTTTCACAAAGCTGCTGCAGTGCCTTTGGAGCTGAATTTCCTGCAGGTAAAAGATTTGACTCAGTTTCCTCAGAGACAGTGGTCACATCATACCCAGCCACCCGTGTCCCTCATTTCACAAAGCTGCTGCAGTGCCTTTGGAGCTGAAGTTCCTGCAGGTGAATGATTTGACTCAGTTTCCTCAGACACAGTGGTCACAGCACACCCAGCTCTCCGTGTCCCTTGTTTCAGGAAGCTGCTGCAGTCACTGAACCCATTGTCAGCTCTGCCTTTTGAGCTGAATTTCCTGTAGGTGAAGGATTTGACTCAATTTCCTCAGACACAGTGGTCACTGTCACAAGTTTTTGTGTCCCTCGTTTCAGGAAGCTGCTGCAGTCACTGAACCAATTGTCAGCTCTGCCTTTTGAGCTGAAGTTCCTGCAGGTAAAGGATTTGACTCAGTTTCCTCAGACACAGTGATCACTGTCACAAGTTTCCATGTCCCTCGTTCCACAAAGCTGCTGCAGTGCCTTTTGAGCTGA